CTCTGAAGTTGGAGTTACAGGTGGTTTTGAGCTTTTAGTATGGATGTTGGGAACTGAACTCTGGTGTTCTCCATTAGGTGTTAATACTCTTAACTACTGAACATTTACCCAGCCCCATCACAGTGTCGAGATGCAGGTCTAAGGTGATTTTATTCATGCACATCTTCCATTTTTGTCATTTATAGAGGAGCTGAAGGCCCCTTTGGAAGAATATGTCCACAAACGCTACCCTGGACTGGTGAAGGTGGTCCGCAACCAAAAGAGAGAAGGCCTGATCCGAGCACGCATCGAGGGCTGGAAGGCGGCCACTGGCCAGGTCACCGGCTTTTTCGATGCCCATGTGGAATTCACTGCTGGCTGGTAGGTCATGAGCCGAAGCTTATTACTCAGTAAGGGCTGAATCTGGGAGGTGGGACCTTCTGCCTATTTCTTCAGGAGCCTCTGGAAGAATGAAGAAGGGTTGCTTGCTGAGCAGGCCACTGGGGTAAAGCAAGAAAGTAAATCAGGTTTTCTAGGCACTATTATTGTTATCATCAACCTACGAATCACTTTTCTCATCCCTGTGGCAAGAAGTACCTGGAAAAGCATCTTACAAAAGGAAAGAAACCAACTTTAACTCATAGTTTGAGCGTACGGTCCATCATGATGAGGAAGCCACAGCAACAGGAGTGCTAGGCGGCTGGTCACATGGCACCCATGGTCAGGGAGCAGAGGGAGATGGATGGATGCCTGGGCTCAGCTCGCTGCCTCCTTTTTGTTCAGTTCAGGACCCCAGTTCATAGATTTGCACCACCTATATTCAGGGTGGGTCTCCCCACTTCAATTAACCCAATTTAGATGTCACTTCACAGGCATGGCCCTCACAGACATCTAGTTTTGATTCTGGATCCTATCAAGGTGACACCATTAACCATCACAATCATTGTGGTGATTAGTAAATTCCAAGCCAGCCTGGGTCGCATGAGTCCTTGTCTCAAATATAAAGTCATTTCTCTAAAACATTAACAACAAATAGGGACTGAAGAAATGACCTGACAGTTAAGGGTTCTAACTTCTCTTGTAAAAAAACCCAAGTGTGTGAAGGAGTCTGCAGAGCATCAAGCCGTACGCAGTCCCTTGTTTTAGGGAATGGCTGCTGTCCTCAGCCTGGGCCCTCGTGGCAGCCCCTGCTAGGCCACTGCCACCCCAGTTGGTGCCCATGCTATGGCTGGGGCCAAGGCACCAGAGACCTGGCCCCACCCTGTCTGCTCTAGGCTGACAGTGGCTTATTGCCCTGGGCTAGACCCACCTTGTGTGGGGTCATCCTACCCGCCCCCTGTATCCATTTCAGGGAAACCTCCCACCACTCACTCCTCTGCTTCCTAGCACTAGGGTACGGATGGTTTGTTTTTCTTTCATGTCTTCTTTCTTTCTTTTCCACAGGACTAGGACTGAACCCAAGTCCCCATGGCAGTGCTCTGCCACTGGTCTACACTGACACTGGCAGCCCTCTTTTAATTTTATTTTGAGACAAGATCTCACTGAGTTGCCCATACTGGCCTCAAACTTGGAACCCTCATGCCTTAGACTCCCGAGTAACTAGTATGATAGGCCTGAACCTGTGTGCCCAGTCTGGAGGGTTTTTTGGTTAACTGCCTCTGTAAGAATGAGCTCTGGGTGGGCCAAACACCCAGCTGTGTGAGTTGTTAACACCCTGCCTCTCCCATGTACGGCATAGTATCTGCCTAATAAATTTGTGTAAAAGGATTGAAAAAAAAAGAAACAAAAAAACAATTGTGTATGGGTCCATATGGGGTAGGGGGAGCTGATGTGTGTGTGTGTGTGTGTGTGTGTGTATGTGTACTCACTTATTGAGGCCGGAAGACAACCTCAGGTGTCATTCTTCAAGTGTCATCACATGGAACTCACCAAGTTGGCTAAATGGCTGACCAGTGAGTCTCAGGGATCCTCCTATCTCTGCCTTCCCTGTGCTGGGATTATAAGTGTGTGCCACCATGTCTGGGCTTTTTTACATGTGTTCTGAGGATTGAACTGGGGTCCTCATGCTTGCATAGCAAGTACTTCACCAATGGATCTATCCCCTCAACCTTCCTATCTGCTAGGTTCTGGCCTCTGCCTCCTGCCTATCCTCTAGTCTCCTCACCTGCATCAGTCTCCCTCCTAACCACCCCTCCCATCTCACACCGACTGTGCTGTGACCACCCCCCCCCACCTTGGTGCTTTCTTATTCACCCTCAGGAAGACAGTGGGTCTCTAAATCCATTCTTCTTTGCTGTGTTTGGCTATGTAAGCCCCTGTGTAGTCCTAGCTGTCCTGGAATTCAATAAATAGCCCAGGCTAGTCTTGAGTTTACAGTGATCCTCCCGCCTCTTTCTGCTGGGAGTTGGGTTTACATGTGTGCACCACCACTTACCCAGCCACAGTATCTGTGACACTGGTCTAGGCTGAGAATGTGCCTGGTTTGGATGGGTCCTCCCTCAGAATTTTCCATTGTCACCTTGAAACAGTCCCATCAGTCAACACAATGGGCATCCCAAACAGGCAATATTTGGCATCTTCCCTGAAATGTATCATCTAACTTGGGCCAATAGAGCCTAATTCCTCTGTGGTCTAATAATAACTAGGCTCTGTGATGTCAGTATTAGCCATGTAGACTTGTTTTCTACACTTGAGCCAAAGTATCCTATGCCCCTCTCTGAATTAAAGTCCTGGTGTGTTTCTTCATTACAGGGAGACTGTGTGTCTCACCATTTACTGGGTAAACGTCTCCACAGTGGCCCAGTATACTGCATATTCCTCTATTCTCCCTGTGGCATTCGAACTGGGGGTTTCTGTGGCTTAGCTTGAGTGTCTTCTGTGTCCTGGGATCCAGGGAGAACTTCAGCCTGGGGCTGGAGAGAGAGGGATCTGTCGGTAATGTGTGTGGGCAGCTGAATTAGATCTTCAGAACCAGGACTGGTGGTGCACACCACACTGGGGAGGCAGAGGGAGGAGGCTCCCTGGGCATCCTTGGCCAGCTAGCCTAGCCTTGTTGATGATGTCAGTCCAAGGAGACCTTGCCCAATGACAGTTGAAGCTGTTTACCTGGTACACATGGACATTTCCACGTGTGTGTGCGGGCACATACATACAGTGCCAGATGGTTTTTATCAACTTGACACAAACTAGAGTCACCAGGGAAGAAGGACCTTCGGTTAAGGAATTGCCTCCATCAGATTGGCTTATGGGTATGTCTGTGTACATCTGTGGGGCCATCTCTGGGCAGGTGAGACTAAGCAGAATAAGAAAGGTTGCTAAGCAAGCAGGGAAAAGAAATCCAGTAAGCAGAGAGCCCAAGATAAGTTTCCTCTGGATCTTCAGCATTTCAGCTCTTCACAATCACAGGCCATAGAGCACGAATCAAAGGATACCTTGCAGGAATTGGTTCTCTCCTCCCATCATCTGGGTCCCAGAGATTGAACTCAGATAGTTAAACCTGATGGCGAGTGTCTTTACTCCCTGGAGTCACCCCACCAGCTTAATCATGGAAGTTCTTAACAACTGATCAGACTTAGAGACTCTCTGACACAGGTGAGAACTTCAGCCCACACTTGAGATGGCTATCCAAGTTTCTTCTCATCTGTGATAGTGTTACTCATGTCCATATTCCTTTGGCAAAGCAATTTACATGTGGTAGGCCACCATTAGGGGACCTGGGGTTGGCCAGGTGAGTAGAGCAAACACAGCAGGTCCCATGACCACAGGGCACCCTGGGGTGGAGTTAGGAAATGAGAAAGAGTCATGGAGAGGGAGACCAAGCTCCTGAGCTGTAGAAACATTGTTTGAAAGTGATGGGTGTGGGGGGGGTTCATTTCATAAAGTGTTTGCTGTGTAAGCACGAGGATGTTCATCCAGACCCCAGCACTGGTGTTATAAAAAAAATCCAGGGATAGCCCTGTGTGTGCCTGTAACCCCAATGCTGTCACAGGTGGAGACAGGAGGCTCATTGAGGCTGATTGGCTACCAGCCTAGCTCCAGGTTCACTAAGAGACTCTGTCTTGAGTTAATAAGGTGAAAAGTTATAGAGCAGGCCACCAGACATCTTCTTCCAGTCTCTCCTTTCATGCACAGGCAGGCAAATGCTTACACATGTGTACATACACCCCACACAGAGAGGAAGAATAAAGTGTAACGAAGTCTGCGGATGGCAATACCACAATGAAAGCCATTGCTATGAAGACTAACTTAAAATACTAGTTTTGTATTTCGATTAAAAAAGCAGAAGAGTGACTGGGGAAATGTCTGAGCACTTTTGTGGTTCACTGGCCACCCAGTCTAGTGGAACCCATGAGCTCTAAGTTGAGTGACAAATCCTGCCTCAAAAAAAAAGAAAGAAAGAAAGAAAAAGAAAAAGATGGAGGGCTTAATAGTTAAGAGTGTTTGCCACTCTTCCAGAGGACCTGAGTTCAGTTCCCAGCACAAACATCAGGCAGCTCACAACCAGCTTCCTGTAATGCCTGCTCTAAGGGAACGCAGTCCCACACACAGACATACACACGTATACACAAACAAAAATAAATCTCTAAAAAAATAGTGAAAAGGTGGATAGGCATCGAGGATGACACGCTGACCTCTGGCTTCGGCATATGTGAGCACACCCACGTGCACTAGTCCACGTATGCTCTCACACTCATGGATATGTGCACACAAAAGTCACTGCACACATACAGTACCAAAACTTTTTTTAAAAAGTAAGAATGTGTTTTAAAAGAGAAGAAAAAGTGAGCCTCCTCACTGGAAAAAATAGGCATAGTAGGCACGGCTTCTCTGGACAGGTGACATAGGAGCTGAGTTCCTCAGTGACTCTGCCTTCTGCTGGCTGCCAAGGGCACCCCCCACACACACACCCAAGAGAATCTCTCCAGAGAAGGCGTGAGGGAGGAAGCTGTAGAAGCTGAGGAGAATAATTTCCCCTGGCTTCCACCTCCACCATGTGCGTGTAAAAAGTATCGAAGGCAGTCAACGGCCCAGGGTATATTTTATTGCTCATTTTAAATAGAAAGATGAGCTGAGCCAGCAGGTAATTCAATAGCTGCAAATGAAAAGAGATTGTTGCAGGCTGTAAGTTCTCATTATTCTTCCAAAGAGCACGAAGAAATGGGATTTTTCCACTTGACTCTTTTCCAAAGTCTACGCTCTGGTCCAAGCTGCAAGATTAATGTCTCGGCTTCCATGAGCCATCTTTAGCTTCTAGAATGTGGAAAGTGATTCCTTCCTGGGATCAGCCTCACAGGCACACTGTAGCTTGACCATCTGCTCTGGGCTAAGCCAGGCAGCTAACACCTTGAAATCAGAGCCAGTTCAAGCCTGCTGCAGCCTGGAGGGAGGAGGCACAGCTGGGAGTCAAGATTTGCCCGACTTTGGGTTTAATTAGTTCCAAGCCTTTTGCTGCAGACCAATCAGATCTCTGTAAGCAATCAATTAGATAATCAATTAAAACAACAAAAATAGTCGAGCCCACACAAAGAAACTAATGAAATTGCTCATTAAAACCAGCACAGGAATGACCTATTTGAGGATAGGAAATTTAGTCCCAGCAAAAGGAAAAAGAAAAAGAAAAAAATAAAACCCATTGGCAACGAAAAGTGGTAGGCAGTGCTCTGATGGGGAACCATGTAAAACTGCCAATCATACAGAGGTGGGAACAATGTTTATGATTAAAAAAAAAGAAAGAAAGAAAGGCTTGTGGCTGAAGAGATGGCACAGCACATACTTCTCTTACAGATGGCCTGAGTTTGGTTCCCAGCATCCACACCTTACAAACCACCTGGAACTCCAGCTTCCTGGGGATCTGGCTCCCCCTTCTGCCCCCCCCCAAGGGCACTGCACTCACAAGCACATACCTACACAGACACATACATAAATAAAAATAACTCCTAGAAAAAAGGAGAGATGGAGAGGGGCTTGAGGGTTTGGCACTGCTTCTCCTGTGCACAGGCAGCATTATAGTGGTTTTGTTGTGAATGAAGGCACGAGAGGCTTACCGCACACTTGAAAACACATGCAGTGTGCTTCGATATGGTCCCATTGGCAGAGTGTTTCCCTAACCTGCACTGAGTCCTAGGTTCCATCCCTTGCACCATATAAACGGAGCATTTAAGTTGGAGGCTGATGCACGCTTCTAATCCCAACACTTATCAGGCAGGGGCAGGAAAACTGGCAGTTCTAGGACAGCCTGGGCTACACAGAAGTTCATGGCCAGCCTGGGGAGCTTAGCAGAACAGTCTTAAAATAAAAACACAGTTGGGCTAGGGAGGGTTGAGTGCGTGCCTGACATGCAGGAGTCCCTGGGTTGGATCCCCAGGCTCACAGGAACGGGGTGTGGTGGGGCACGCTTACCATTCCAGCACCAGGGGAGTGGAGACAGGAGGATCAAGAGTTCAGGCCCCTCCTCTTCTACACAGCCCTTGAGCCCAGGCTGGAGTCCATGAAAGTGTCTCAAAAACAAAACCATGGAAGCCCACACGGCCGTCCCATGCTCAAACTTGGGCAGGTCACGGACCTCTGAGTACCTCGGCTTCCTCCTGAGCTCCAGCCTTTGAGTTTCTTCATTTCTGGTAGTTTTCGAAGCCTTCTGGCTGATGCATGTCCCAGGAGAGAGATTTGACTGTGACTTCTCTGCTTCGCAGGGCTGAGCCTGTTCTGTCCCGCATCCAGGAGAACCGGAAGCGGGTCATCCTCCCCTCCATCGACAACATCAAACAGGACAACTTTGAAGTGCAGCGCTATGAGAACTCTGCCCACGGGTACAGCTGGGAGCTGTGGTGCATGTACATCAGCCCCCCGAAAGACTGGTGGGACGCCGGGGACCCCTCCCTCCCCATCAGGTCTGTGGCAAGTAAGCTCTGGTGGGGCCGCTAAAAATCTGCTGCAGAGTGAAAGCCCAGGCCCCAGGGTCAGCTTGAGCCGCGGGGAAGGGCTGGGAATGGCTGGCGAAGGCTGGCTCAGTGGTGTCCAAGCAGCTCCCTGAGGAATGATGGTGCCTTAGGATCGTAATTCCTTGCTGAGAGAGATAGACAATCGCATTTTATTGCAGCAGCTGCACTTCTTAGGCGTCGCTTTCATATGGCTGCGATGAAAGTTTGAAATTGCTAATAATACAGTTTTTCATCCTTCCTCGGGTGTTACATAGCCTCACATTCTACGGTCTTACCTATCTACCCACCCTTGGCTAACCTGTGTGAAAACACTAAATTATCTCAACCTCTCGCCTCAACGTCTGTAATATGATCACATCTGCCAAGATTTTTTTTTCCTATAATGTCACATTCACAGGCTCTAGAGATTTGGGGTATGACGTGGGGGAGGGGCAGCATCGTTGAGCCTAGTGTCAAACTGACTTTTTGTTTTAAATTTTATTTAATTTATTATTGTTGGGGGACGTGTACTGGGGCCATGGCACACACGTGGGGGTCAGATGACAATTTGAGGAGTCGGTGCTCTCCTTTCATCTGTATGTGGATTCTGGGGCTCAAAGCTGGGGCGTCCGGGCTTGCATAGCAAGTACCATTATTTGCAGAACCATCTTGTCAGTCCCAAACTGGCCAGCCACCTTCCAGAGTACACCTGTATGCGCCTCCCATTTAATCATCCCTGCGATTACAAACACATGCTGTGGCGCCTGGCTTTTATGTGGGCTCTTGGGATCAAACTGAGGTCATCACTTTTGTGGGACAAGCACCTTACCAACTGAGCCATCGTCCAGTCCCCAGCTCTTAAAATAGGATTAATTCTGTCTTCAGTCAATTGAGCTGGGAAGGGCAGCTTCTCTCAGCCTGGCTTTAGTGAAAGGGTTTTTCCATATCAAGCAGGAAAGCAAGAAGGAAGCAAGGGACAGGAGCAAGGACTTTCTATAGGTGGGTGTGGGTTCTGTCTTGGTTTGCAAATTTGTGATAAACAAAATGTTAGTTTTCAAAAGTCCTATGACAAGTATCTGAGAAAAGCAACTTAAGGAAAACAAGATGTTTTTTGTTTGTTTGTTTGTTTGTTTTTCCATTTGTTTGTTTGAGTCAGGGTTTCTCTGTGTAACAGCCCTGGTTGTCCTGGAACTCACTGTGTAGACCAGGCTGGCCTGAAACAAAGAGATTTACCTGCTTCTGTTGCCCAAATGTTGGGATTAAAGGTGTGTGCCATCACACCTGCCTGGAACAAGATTGATTTTAACTCGTCATTTCAGAGGGGAGTCCACCATGGCTGGTAGAGAAGAGCGGCTTGCATCTCAGAGCCAGGAAACACAAGTTCTACTGCTAGCCCTTCACCGGGGCATCCCAGGCAAGTAGTCTGCCTCTCAGCCACGCTCCAGCCCCTCACTGGAAGATTCTAGGCAGGTGCTTCTCTTCTCCTGAGTCAGGCCCCTGAGTCAGAATTCCATGGAGAATTCTCGGAAGAGCTCTACATTGATCCATACCCCCAGCTATTCGCTGGAGGATTCTAGGTCTTTTACACCAGGGCATTCTTACTCCTGCCCTTCAACGGATACTTGGCTCTACCTTGAGCCACGCCTTCATTCCCTCACTGACGGATCCTAAGAAAGAGCGCTACCCCTGAGCTACACCCTTTGCCCAGGTGGAATGGCCAGCAGACATGGGCCAGTCTGAGTGGGAAGGCTCTGTGTGAAACCGTAGCCTGCGTCTCTCAAGTTACTGTCACATTACCAGATGATTAATATGCACTTTAAAGACTCAAGAACATAGAGTTGCGATCCCGAGCCATTAATATTACACGAATCTCTGATGTACAAAATGGAAGCATGCGCCGGTGGTCTCCTCTTTGTGCGTCTTTACTTACCAGACACTTAATTTGTTAATGGTTGATAGGGAGATTTAATTGTCGGAAAGGAGTTTTTATGGGCCTTCTGATATTATTAAGCTGATATAATGTGCTTTCTTAATCATGAGGACATGGTAATTTCTCCTCCATCCAGTGATGCCAAAATGTTAGTGGTTATGATTATACTCCGTTGAAGGGTACAGGGAGCCTGTCATATTCCAAATAGCATAGAGTAAATAAAGCCTTGGATACCAGATTTCCTGGTAGGGGATGTAATATAAGAAGTTTCACCCTGGGGGCTGGAGAGATGATGGAGAGGTTAAAAGTACCTGCTGCTCTAGCAGAGGGCCCAAACACAGTTCCCAGAACCCACGCTGGGCAGCAAGCAACCACTTGTAACTCCAGCTACGGGAAATACCATACCCTCTTCTTGCCTCCATAGACACTGTACTGGTGTGCATAAACCCACACAGACTCACATACATGCCTCCAGTAAAAAAACAGCTAAGGCTTCAGGAACACTGGGCAAGGGTTCCACCACCCATCTACCTCACGGCCCTTTGTTTCATTTTTTACTTTTTATTTGGGGACAGGCTCTTTCTAAGTTGTAGATGCTGGCTTTGAACTTATTCTTTAGACCAGAGAGGAGCCTGTGACCCTCCTGCCTCCAGAACAGCTTAGATGACAGACCTGAACCACCACCCCCAGCCTATATTGTCACCCCCCCCCATTTGATCTGACAAGCTGTTTGCTAAGGTTTCCCGTTGGTTCGCTGCCGTTAGTTGCCCATGGCTGAGATTCAGGCGGGAGTGGGAAGGAGGCCTCCAGGAGGACAAAGGCCTCATGGAAAGGTTGCAGTCAAGGGTGGTTAGAAAACACATCCTGCGCAAGGAGGCACCTGCGCCCAGCCCCGCACAGTGCTATACAGAGGACCCAAATGGCTGACCCCCAGCCTTGTAGACAGTCTCCCTTTGGTGTGCATGTAACTCTATTGTGTGAGTTTATGTTACATGTGTGCATGTGCCCATGAAATTCAGAAAGGGCCATCAGATCCCCTAGAGCTGGAGTTACAGACGGTTGTGAGCCCCCCACCCAGATGCTAGTGACAAAATACAGTCCCACCGCAAGAGCAACAAGCTCTCTTTACCCCAGAGCCTTTTGAAACAGGATCTAATGGGGACCTGATCTTGCACTTTCTGTGTAGTTAAGGAGAGCCTTAAATTCTTTCTTTATGCCTTTACTTCCAGAGTGCTGAATTTATGTGGTATTGAAGGTAGAACCCAGGGCTTTATGTACACGGGGCATATGTTATTGAATTGAGCTGTATTCCCAGCTAGGTTCCTAGATTTTTTTTAAGAGAAATTGTTACCAGAACTTTTTATGAGATCTTCTGACTTCCAGTGTCAAGGACTGCATTGTCTTGTCGGGGTTTCTGTGGCTGTGAAGAGCTGCTTACAGTTTCAGAGGTTCAGTCCATTATCATCATGGTGGGACATGGTAGCGCGCAGTCAGACGTGGTGCTGGAGAAGTAGCTGAGATGTCTATATCTTGCAGGCAACAGAAAGTAGACTGAGTGTCACACTGAGCAAGGCTTGAGCAAAAGGGACCTCAAAGCCTCCCCACACAGTGACACATTTCCTCCAACAAGGCCACACCTACTTCAACAAGGCCACACCTCATAATAGTGCTACTCCTTTTGGGGGGCATTTGCTTTCAACCACTACATGTGACATGCATCAAGGTGGCATTGCAGAGTTGGAGAGATGGTTCAGTGGAGAAAACACTTGGTGAGGACCTGGGTTTCATTATCCAGAACCCCCATAAACCTGGATGCAGGAGCATACGTCTGTAACCTCAGCACTTTAAAAAAAGATTTCTAGATTTATTGTTTTTATGCTTACGTGAGCATGCCCTATAAGTTTGTGTGCACTATTTGCACGCAGGAGCCTTTGCTGGCAGGAAGAGGGCATCAGATCCCCTGGAGCTGGAGCAACTGACAGCTGTGGGTGCCTGATGTGGGTGCTGAGAACTGAACCTGAGTCTTCTGAAAGAGCATTAGCATTCTTAACCTCTGAGCCATCTCTCCAGACCCTGGCCCAGCGCTTGTACAGTATGCTGGAGGCAGAGAAAGGAAGATTCCCTAGATCTCTTTGTGGTGGCTTGAATGAAAATACCCTGCATAGGCTCACAGGGAGTGACATTGTTTGGAAGGATAGAGATGCTTGGCCATGCTGGAGTAGGTGTGGCCTTATTGGAGGAAGTGTGTCACTGTGGGGTGGTCTTTGAGGTTTCAGAAGCTCAAGCCAGGCCTGGTGGCTCACTCTCTTCTTGCAACCTGCTGATCCAGTTGTAGAACTCTTAGCTCCTTCTCTACCAAGGTGCCTGCCCGTGTGCTGCCAAGCTTTCCCGTCATGATGGTAATGGACTGAACCTCTGAACTGGAAGGCAGCCCCAGTTAAATGTTTTCCTTTATAAGAGTTGCCATGATCATGATAGTCTCTTCACAGCAATAGAAACCCTAACCAAGACACTCGTGGATCATCTAGTCTGGTTTATGCAGTAGCCAACAGCAAAGAGACCTTTGTCTCAAACAAAGCGGAAAATGAAGGTTGACACCTGGATTGTCCTCTGACTGCAACACACAGGCATACATACTCACGCATGCACGCACGCATACACACACACACACACACACACACACACACACACACACACACAGATTAAACACAACAGATGGCATTTGGCAGTTGGGTATGACCCTGGCTCCGTTCTTGTGCACCATGGATATTGTTGCCGTTCCCAGGATAGCCTTGATTTGCGCTTCTCAGATGCGAGTTGTGGACTTCTGTGATCCTTGGTTGTA